CAACAGGTAGTGGAGTTTCTTACACATGGTGCCACCTGTACACATTGATGGAGTCAGGACTGAGGCTGACCTGACTTCCAGCCTCTTTCATTTATTTTGGAAACTCTTTTTGTATTTCCTGATCCCTTTTGTTCAACAGCGAGGAGTGCTTATCATTAACTTTAAATAAGTGTGTAGAGAGTCAGTGTTTTATGATGTCGCCTGCTTGATAGTTGATGGTGCTTTAAAAAAAAAAAAAACACGTGACAACATCTTTACGTATAAATATCGACCTGGGCAGTTGGAAGATGAAAGCCTTTTATGGCGCGTCATGTACTTTGCACTAGATTTGCGCAAGCTGCTGGATGGTTAACTTACTATTTGGTAAGATTGTATCTCATTCTACCCTAAGGCTCCCTTTTTGAATACCAATGAGATATGACCGTCAGTAACTCTCATGGGGGCCAGGCCACCATGTCCCCTCTCCCAGTAACAGAAGTGATCCTTCTCCCTCCTCTGCCCCTTCCCGCTGTGCCCCCCATGTCTCCCCCAGACTCCCTGGGCTGTGTGGGGAGTGCAGTCCAGAACTCGGAGTTCCCGGGTCAGTGACTGAGTGAGGCTCTCCCACCCCTTTTTCTGTGGCACTTTTGCTCTTCTTCCAGCCTCCGGAACTTGGACTCTCCATTCCTTTGTTACATTTGTTTATTCCATTGTTTGAAAAAACGCTTTGGTGTCCCTAGTGTGTCGGGCCCATGTTTAGTCCAGGCCACAGCACGAGGTGGCTGTCGTGCCTTCCAGGAGAGTCGTTGGGTGGAGGGGGCCTCGGCGCCGGGTGCCCCATTCACTGTTGTGTGAGGCCCCCCTCCTCCCGCGTGTGTCAGCCCCAGCAGGCAGGGACCACAGTCCCTGCACCCTTACAGGGTGCAGTGCCGACTCGTTAGAACACGGCAGGCGGCAGTTGCCCAATGACAGTGGGTTGCGTTGGGAGGTCAGCACTGAGGATTCTGAAGGTTCTCCTTTCCAAACTATTGGATGAGGTAACCATCCTCCTTTTCCTGAAATGCGATGATGGTACGTGACAGCCCTGTAGAAAGGCAAGTGACGTAGCAAGGCAAGTTGTACCTTCTAGCCGCTTCTTTTCCTGTCCTGTGTCACCCTATTGCTGTTCCCACTGTCCCTTTGAGACCATCTTACCATTTCCTTCTGCCCTGACACTCCCTTTTTCCTTCCTTCCTTAGAGGCCGCGGAAAACAAGAGTAAGAAAAAAATCTGCCTGATTCTGTATCTCTCTGTCCCTGTGGCTTCTCAGTACACATCTGAAATGTCTCTGTCTCTCTCTGTATGTGTCTCTCTCAATATATTGGGGGGCTGTTGGGACTGTCAGGGAGAATCTGGCTCCACACTTGACAGGAGCATCCTACTCTGTGTGTGTGTGTGACATTCTCGTGTCGCTTTTGGCATGTGTGTGTTCTTGAATCTCGAGCATTTTCAATGGCAGGAAAATTGTTCTCTTAGACTAAACCCAGTGTTCAACACCTACTACAAGTGACTGATAAAACCACAGAATTTTCACACCTGTGTAATCCGCCTTCTAGGTGGACGTAGAACCATACAGAGTTGCAAGTTTGGGGGAAGACATTGCGGCTTGGGCTGGTGTGAGGGAAAGGGATGAAACTGAATCCCAAATAGTGACAAGAAACGAGCTTCGTTGCTTACATTAAATTTTTATTTTCCCTTGCCCTTTTACCATTTAACAAAATGAGCATGGGGGAGAGCCTGGGATAAACAGCAGGGAGAACATCTAGTAACATAGCTCGCTGCAATCTTTCTCCTCCTTTTGAAGGGACCTTGAGTATGATCTCAGTCTCCCCTGAAAAGCAGTAACATTAGCCTTTTTCGGCCTGAATTTTTGTTTCTTACCAAACTTAGATTAGAAGCTTTTCTACAGGTAGAAAAGTCCTCCATGGACACACAGTAATGAAAACACTTGTCGAGTTTTTGTGTTATGATGGAAACAGAATGAGGGGCTGTCCCCCGAGAAAGAGCTGAAAATCCTTCTAAGCTGTGTGGTGACAGGTTTGCTCAGGCTATTCCTGACCAGATTCAGGGACTGCCCTGCCCCATGCTTAGAAGGTGGGGACTTCCTGTTCCCCTAAATCGCAGATTCCTCCAACCCCAGAGCCTTGAGCGCCCTTAAACCAAAGCTTTCGGAAGCCCGTTGTCTACTCAGGCCCATCCCTGTGAAACTGAATAATGGAGAGAACATTCACCTGTAAGATGGCGGAATTGCAGAAAAGACCTCGTTGGATTAGCTGACAAACTGCCAGTCCAAGGAAGAGTCCAAATCCTGGCCCAGCTCAGTCTAGTTCGCCCTGAACTGGGGAGTTGGGCCCAGGGACAGGCGGGAATGTGCCTTGTTCTATTCGGTCAAGAAGCACTTACCAAGAGCCCCGTGATCCAGCAAGAAGACAACCTTCCCACAGGTTCCTCATGCCCTAGCTGGGGAGATGGACAGACATGAAGATAATGGGAATGCTTGCTGCCGTAGGACAGACGAGCAGGAGGCCAGGGAAGCCCAGAGCAGCACGGAGCCCTGGCTGGGCGTAGGGAGGAAGAAGGAAGGACTGTGGCTTCGAGGAGGTGTCACTGGAGCCCAGCCTCACAGAAAGGGGAGGGGCTTCACCTGGGCAGAGGAAGGCCTGCAGGGGGCCGGGAAAGAAGTCAGTTCAACAGGGTTTTGCAGGAGTTGGGGGGGGAGGGGCACATCATCTGGGGAATCTCCTAGCATAGCAGACACGGGGTCTGTCCCTATTTCTTTTGGAAGACAGCCCCACCCATTTGTCTACATGTTATCTGTGGCTGCTTTCTCATGACAACAGCAGAGTTGAGTAGCTGCAGCAGAGACCGTGTAGTCCACAGAGCCTGAAAAATTTACTGTCTGGCCTTTTACAGAAAAAGTTTGCCGACCCTCGATACATTTTTATCCTTGCAACCGAATGAGGAGGACCCGCAGCGTGGGCAGAGGGGCTTTGCTTGTAGCCCTCCACCCAGCGAGTCCTCTTCACCCCACACCACCTACTCAGTGGCCTCAAGTGTCAGTAGCTTCTGGCTCCAAATATTCTAGAAATAGAATAGTATCTGTGATATACGAGGGGGTACCTCCCCCAAAGTGTCCCCTAAAATGTGTGATTACCCCAACCCTAGCCTGTTGTGGGCTGTGCCTAAGTTCATGGAACCTCTGCTGCATACTTGCTTGGCAAGTGTTGCCCGGCAAGGTCAGAACTGAAACCAGCCACAGGAGTAGCCACTGAAGCGCCCTCTCTCTTCCCTGGTGAGACAGCACATTTGTTGGGCCTCTGGACCTGGCCTGCGGGAGGAGGGGAGCTGTAGGAAGAGCCGCCACCCGAGCCTGCATCTATTTTAAAAACACAGAGAATGTGTTTCCAGCCGCTGTGCATTTGAAATGCTGCTTTCCCAGATGTAGCGAGTGAAGGTTGTGTGGAATGACACGGCAAATGCCAACTTAAAAGCACCGGCTGTGGGCCGTGGCATCCGCCGTGGGGAGTGCGAGACTAGACTCCTTACGAACATTAACTTATTTAAAGAGCTGCATGAAACAGAGGCGCGGCCGTTCCCATTTTACAGATCATGAAACAGGCTCTGACAAGTTGAGTAACCCCCATTTAACTACGAAATGACACTGCTTCCAGCCACGAGGAGGAGTGTATTGATTTTTATGCTCTAGTTATTCTTAGCAAGTAGGAGGCTCATTGAAAATACTGAATTAAGAGGTCAAGAATTTCCATTACAGACTGTCAAAGGAACTGGTTTCCAAGGGGCAGGTAAAGTCCTCCTCAGCGCTAACTTCTGTTTAAATACCCCTGTCAAATAATATTGCAGTTTGGGATCTAATTTCCGATTAGTACTTTGTATAGAAAACTGTCAGCAGTAAATAATGATGAAATTTTCCAAACATTTCTGGAAAAAAGAAGCATGTATGTTTAGGGTTATCTTGTTTTCCAACTAAAATGATCAGTCCTGCACACAAATCCGATCACAGCCATCCCCCCCGCTAAAACTTTTCATTGTTCCACCGTGTCTTTAGGATAAAGATCAAAGTCCTCATTGTGGTGGTTGAGGCCTTTGTTGTCTGGGCCCTGCCTGCGTCTCCTGTGTGACCTCTCAGCCCCTCACACTTCTTTATTCCAGCCAAAGTCTGTCCCTGCATTCAGGAGCAGCTCTGTCCCTTGAAACACCTCTTCAGATGGTCCCTTTGTCTAGCTCCTGCTCCGTCTTCACATCTCAGCTAAGATGTCGCTGCATCTAGGAGCTGCCTCCCACCCACAGAGGCAGGGTCGATGTCCTTCCTTGGCCTGGCCCTGACAGCGTGTCTGTTACACTGTTCAGTTGTTACTCTGAGCTAGCTAATATAAAGGGAGTTTTGGGGAGGAGATATTTAAAGAGTAAGGAGACCTTCATGGAAATCTAAGAACTGGGTCTGTAAGGAGCTATACATCATGGAGCTGGAGCTCCTTGTAATGGCACAGATGTGTCTGTGACTTTCTGCTCCTCTGTCCACCAGCTCTGTTGGTCTGTTTCTCCCTGTTGGCTTCCTCAGCTTACACACGTCTTCACAACATCTGCGTGTGACCTCAGCTTGCCTGCACAACCTAGAGTATCCTGCCAGCCCTGGTGCACCCCTCTGATCTCATGGCTTCACTTCCTGCTCCCCACTTGTTTGGTTTCTCAGCTTCCCAAGTGCAAATTTCTAAGCAAGTTGTCTGGTTGGCCTAGCTCACCACATGTGTCACAGATCTCTGGCCAGCCCATAGGTGGACAGTCCTTGGGTCAGCACAGACCAGGCAGATATATTTGCAGCGGGAGGAGTTCCATGAGTCAGAACATGGCTGCCAATATAGACTTCTCTTTTTTTGGTTTCTCTCCCTGCCTCTGTGCTCACAAGGATGTTAGGCATGTGCTTTATAGACTTCATGGTATCCTTTGTTCTCCATCTTTTGCAGATATCATTAACGGAGCTCAAGAAAAATGTGTATTGCCTCCTATGGATGGCTACCCCCACTGCGAGGGGAAAATCAAGGTAAGGCGGAAGCAGCGCGGGCTCATGTTCATCTTCCTCGATCTGCACTAGCACCTCCTGTTTGCCGTCCCTCCCTTTGCCTCCCAGTGATACGAATGACTTGCCTTGAGGCGAGTCATTTAAGGGGTGTCTCCATCCTGCCTGCGTTGGGCTGTGGCCCTGACAGCCGGCTCTGCTCATGCCAGCTCCATGGGGTTGGGCGACAGTGGCTCTCGCTCTCAGCCTAAAAGAGCCTGGGCCCTTTCAGGCACCTACTGTGTCTTTGAAGCCGCCTTCCCCTCTGCCTCTCCCAGCCTCTAGTGGGACCAGTGACGGGGGGCTGCCATTATTTAGTGTCCAACTCCGTTCTCCCCAGACCCCTGCTCTGAGGTCTCCAGATTGTGGTTTAAATGTCACATTTATGTTTGCGGTCAAGTATCTGAAGACGCTTGCTCTTTCATTCTTAACATTTTTTTTAAATCCTGTTTGTATGGCCTGCCCTTGGGAAGACCACTGCCTGCCTGGTAGTTTTCAGAGAAAAGGGTCGGTTCAGGTGTGCACCTAGGGCAGCAAGACCAACCCCAGAAGCATGTGGTCTCTATTTGGGCCATCTGTAAATGCTCACTCCTGCCCTGGTTCCTGCACCGTGTGTCCCAGGTGCTGTGCTGTGGGCTGTTGGAACTGTAGTTCCTGGAGGCGATGTGTGCACACAAGAGTCCCTTAGGTGCTTGCTCTTGGTACAACTCTCCTGGCCATCTCCTCTCCTGGGCTTCATTACCTGGAGTGTCTCCCAGCCTTGCACCTTTCTGAGCACCTCTGCCAAGGCCCGGCACCAGCCCCTGTCCACCTGTGTGTCATCCAGGAGCTGAGCCAAGCACCTGGGCGTCTCGACCTCAGCTCGGTGGCTCCTTTGCTCAGTTTTTTAGGCCGCTGCTTAAGCCATTCACCACGTTTCCACCCTTCATGCCTTTCTCTGTGAGCAGACATGTGGGGGCCCTGAGAAATGGCTGCTCAGAGATGTTCTGATCTGTCTCTCGTTTCAGTGGATGAAAGACATGTGGCGTTCAGATCCCTGCTACGCAGACTACGGAGTGGATGGGTCCACCTGCTCTTTTTTTATTTACCTCAGTGAGGTGAGTAGCTGCTTTTGGCTCGTAGGGGTGCATGTGACTGGACTGTGTTGTAGCTGAGCCTGGAATTTGAAAAGCTTAAAGCTGTGCGTTGTTTCTATATGAAGGACCTGTGTGTCCTTCGTTACTTTCCCCACCTCCCCAAGAAGGATGATTTTTTTCCTCCTTAAGGGAAAAACAGGCTGAGTTAGCTATTTACTTTTTTCCCCCAATTTATTTTATTGCAGTAAAATACACATGAGATTTGTTGTCTTAACCATTTTCAAATGTATAGTTTAGTGGCATTAAGTACATTGTGCAGCTGTCACCACCATCCATCTCCAGAACTCTTTCATCTTGCAAACTAAAACTCTGTACCCATTAAACACTAACTCCCCATGCCCCCGACCCCTAGCCCCAGCCAACCACTGTTCTACTTTCTGCCACTGTGGGTTTGACTACTCTAGGTAACTCATATAAACGGAATCATATAATATTTGTCCTTTTGCAAGTGCCTAATTTCACTTAGTGTAATGTCTTCAAGGCTCATCCACGCTGTAGCATGTATCAGAATTTCCTTCCTTTTGAAGGCTGAATAATATTCCCTTGCGTGTATATTCCACATCGGGCTTATCCATTCATCCATCGGTGGACACGTGGGTTGCTTCCATCTTTCGGCTATTGTGAGCAACACGGCTATGAACATGGTGTCCAAGTATCACTTCAAGACCCTGCCTTCATTTCTTCGGGGACTTTACTGAGAAGTGGAATTGCTGGGTTGTATGGTAGTTGTATTTTTAGCTTTTTGAGGAACTACCACACTGCGTTTCCCAGTGGCTACACCATTTTACATTCCCACCGACAGTATACAAGTGTTCCAGTATCTCCACGGTCTCACCGACACTTGTTATTTTCTGGTTTTTTAATGGGTGGCCATCCTAATGGGTGTGAGGCGGTATCTCATTGTGGTTCAGGTTTGTATTTCTTTAATGATGTTGATATTTTCTCATGGGCTTGTTGGCTGAGTTAGCTATTTACTTATAGGCTTAATTAGTTACTTTTACCTTCTTTTTTTTTCTTTTTATCCTGAGCTTCATTTTCATTCGTACCCTCCAGTTTAAATAGCTTTTTTTTTTACCCCCCTAAGTGTTGCAGAGCATTTTATAGACCACGTGGAATTGGTGCCAGGCTTTGGGATCTCCATTTCACTTTCAGGAAAACCAAGGAGTAGGGAGGAGTTAAGACTTTGCCGTGGGCGTGCTACAGTGGAAGAACTTGCTAGGGAATCGCAGCCTGCTGGTTCCCCCCCTCCCCTCTGTGGACGGGGCGGCCCTGGATCTTGTGAAACACGATAATTCAGAGAACGGACCTCAGCACACCCTCTGCTGCCTAATTTTTTTATTCTGTCCCCCGTTTTTGTTCAGTGTTGCTGTTGTCATTTGATCGATGGTAACAGCTCCCTGGTGATGCCGCGCAGGAAGGGGAATGCTTCCGTTTATGAGGCTAAATTAAATGCTTTTGCCATAGTTTTCCTTGTGGGATTCAGACGCCTCTCTTTTCTGTGCCATAAGGAGACAGGGGACAGCTTCTCTGGGGCATGGAGGCCAAACCAGTATTGTGATAGGGCGTGCGCCGTATAGATTCTGTGGGGTCTGCCCCTCCTCCAGCCCACTGCCTCTGCTTCCCTGCTGCATGCAAGTCAGGCTGTTTTCTTTTGGATGAGGGTGTTCCATGGTCACCCCGTGGCTGTCAAGAGGACCCCAGAGCTAATGATGAAATTCCTCTTGGAAGTGGAAAGCACTGAGGGTTGGGTGTGAGGTGCTCCTGGTTAGCAAGCGGCTGGCGAATTGACTTGGGAGCATTTATCCCAGTGTGTTTCTGGCTTGCGCGGGCCTGCCTGCCGCCTTATTTCCTCCTCCAGAGGAGGAAGGCCTGGGGCCGTGGGTGAACCTTCACTGTAGTGAGAAGTCAATTAAAAGCACCTTTCCTGCTGGGAGGAAAAGGTTCTTCGTTCTGTTTAATTTTCAGAAGTTTTCTTCCCCTTTCCAGTTGATGGAATTTAGCCAGAGTCCAACTGTGCTCCGTGATTGACAAGCTGGGCTAATTTCACGCCTTCCTAAGAGTTTGCATGTTGGGGTGTGCAGCGGAAAGAGGGTTTTCCATTGCTGTCCTAGCCCCCTCCACCTCCTGGGAGAGTGGCCCAGACTGAAGGAATGAAATTATTTCTGACCTCTTCCCTTCCTTTGACCGCCACCCCACCCCCACTCCCGATGAAGGATAGACATGGCAAGTCTCAGAGAAAAATGAGATTCTGGGAACGTGCAGGTGAGAGGAGTGGGGGACAGGCCCGGCTGTATAAAGACGTGATGGATCACCTAACTGACTATCCGAGGCTGAGTGCTTCATTTCAGGACCTGTAAACTATTTTTTCCTCCTCCTGAGGTATGCAGTGGTGCTTCCTTAGCCCATTCCACTCTCTTCCTATGCAGCTGATTGAGTGGTTTTTGTTGTTTAGCTAAATTCAATTCAGTGAGCAATTATTGAACATCTATTGTACTCATTGTCAGCAGTTAACGAGCCATGCTCTGCATTCATCATATTAAAAGAGGCAAATGGGAGAGAAGGAAGGAAGGATGCAGGAATCTCTCTTTCATAGTTTCAGTCTGAAAATAACCCTGACCCTCTGGGTTTTTAGAAAAATTACTATGTTGTCATAGCGTCATCGTTAATAGGTACCGAGAGTTTGAGGATAACGTCACCAGTATGGTCACTTCAGTAGGAACACTGCCTTAGAGCCTTGTACCTGACTTCAGCTTCTGTTTCTGCTGCTTTCCAAACAGTATGATTTTTTTTTTTAGAAAAAAAGTTACTTTAGTGCCTTGGGTTCTTCCTTTATAAAATAACAATTTGAATAATGTTCAAGGCCCCTGCTGTGAAGATGTTGTAAGGATTCCTGAGATTATATGGAAACATATTTAGAGTAGAACCTGGCAGAAAGAAGACACTCAATAAACATAACTGATACTTTATGTTTTTTTAATATTGTCCTCATTGAGGGTAGCTGTGGTGTGTCACTTAGCCTCGGACATTATGTGTGGGACCTTGGTTCCATTTTAGAATGAGAATCAATTTCCGGTTCTCATTCACAATCTAATCTAATTTTATATTCTTTGACATCTGGGAATGTAGAAATCCTGCTGTTTCCCTTGAATCTTTTTTTATTAATTGACAAATAAAAATTGTGTATGTTCATGGTGTACAACTTGATACTTTAATATAGCTCTGCTTTGTGGAATGACTAAATCAAGCTAATTAACGTGTGCATTACTTCACGTATGTATTCATTTGTGGTGAGAGCACCTTCCCCTTCTTTTTTCTGGGCTATGATACTTGCGTTTGCATTGGAATTGGGAGCTGGCTGTATGGAGCTGATGTACCCCTACAGCTGTTAATGTGAAGTTAGTCGCCATGTTTTCCAAAACCAATTAATTTGTTTCTAGTATCTTTAAAATCCTGGACGATATCTGTGGCTTTGCAGGAACTGTATGTTAATCCAGTTGTGTGGCTTTCTCTCTTGCTGTCTTGAAACTTACTGTTACCTCATTAAACTCTGAAACCTGTTCATTTCCTGTATCATACACCAGGTTTCTCTTGTGTTTGGGTGAATGATTGAGAGGGACGTCTTCATTGGACTTGTTAACTTGATCAGCACGTGTACCGGTGATTTTTGTTTTATTCTTATCCTTATTGGAAGAGCCAATTCTTGTTTTGATCTGTGTTTAACATCAGGACTTTGACAGATACCTAAAGGACATGGAGCATTATAAAATGCCTCTCGGATAGTCACCAGTTGAATCGATGTAAACCTCTCAGCAACCCTGATGAGTAAAGGAGAGCTGGGTCCTAGGGAGCCCAGGGGTTAGTCACTGCGCTCCAAAGTCCTGCACTTCTCATTGCTGTTGTCCCCTTCATGTCAAAGGGAAACCGAACTCTGGACACTGACGTGTAGTCATTGACTTTGCATTCAGTCTTATGCTCAAATCCTCTCGTGTTTGAAACATGGCTCTGATTTAGCTAGTTTCAGTTAATCTTCATTCCCAGTTTTCTAATACTCCATAATTTTGTCACTCTACCTAAAAAAGGAGAACAACCACTAACTCTCCTGAGGACATAAGTCATGAAAACCAGGTATCAGCCATTGCAAGTGGTAGGAGTCAGCGAATGATTCATTAGGCAGCCTTGTATTTCCAGAACATCGGGCAGTTCATTTTCTGTATCTGTTTTTGTGAGCCATGTCACTACTCCCATTATAGAGTCAAGGTCCTGTAAAGTAATTACTCTGAATGTCATTGTTTCAGGTATATTAACTTAGCTGTCTGCAGAGCCTTTTATTGCTATCAGCTTTTACAAAATTGAGAATGCGTTTCTTCACCTCTATTGGTATTATGTTGATAGATGATGCTGATATATTTGACACCCACACATTTCTTCTTCTTGTACGGTTGCTGCAGAAGCTAGCAAGGATCTTACCTTTCCAGGCTTCTTAATTTGTGCTGTTTTTTAAAGCACTTCTGTTGCCATTGCAAATAGAGTGGCTCCAAAATAATCAAATTGCCCCGTGATTGATTGCTAGACCTTAGAATGTGTACACGCTGTTGCTTCAAACGTCAGTTTGGACTGGATGTGTGAGTGTGTGTGTATATGACGCTGTCTTAAAGGAACAAAAGAAACAGTTTCATGCCCTACTCATCAATCTGTTTCTTATATTTCATGAACAACAAGCATAAAGGTCTTTGCCTCTTTCTGTTCTCCCTTGGCAATATGTAAAACTAATATTGGCTAAGCATGCTATTAACCTTGAGTTTAAATTCAGCGTGCTTAATCCCTTGATTAATGCCAAGATTAATGCCCAACAGGAAAGGTTGAAAGCTTAAATGTTTGTGAATGCGAGCATGAAATGAATCCTAATAACCAGTACAATGATTTGGATTTATGAGCTTTGTTGGCTGCTAAAGATAACTTGG